ACGCCAGGGCGGCAGAAGCTTGGTTTGGTGTAGAAGGCTTCCAGCCGTACATGTTTGAGCCCTTTTGGGACAATATCTTCTGATAAAGAGTACATTTATATACATGTTTAAGCCAGAATGATTTGGCATTTAAATATGACTTCCCTACGACTTTAAACAAGAGACATCTCTCTGCTTTAGAGCGTAAAATGCTTTAAACTAAAAAGGTTGCATGAATGAAATGGGTACCGCTACCGTAACTTTATGTCTCACTGGAGAAACGTGGCACAGAAACAGTGGCAGCTAATGACACTGCTCTATGAATAACACGGTCTGTCAAAGCTACACCAGACATAAAGTAACAATCAGCAATATGTCACTGTCATCTAAAGTCACTTCCTCAAGTCACTTCCTCTTATCAGTTCTCAAAGTTCTGCGTCCATCCACCAGCAGCCCCATTTTTTTTTTGACATGTCCTACTTAGACATGGTATTTCTGCCTATGGCTCAGAACTGTGCTCCAGTTCAACACTCCACCCCTCAACCCCCCTTCCTAAGCAAGCCAAAGGCAGCCCTGCTACCGGCTCTGAGAGAAATAAGACAACACACTGCAGGGGTAGAGCTTCATATGCATCACTTTACATCGTCAGACTGAGGGTCGACATGAGGAACAGCGAAGCACTGACTCTATTACTTATGCTGTGACACACTATTGCTCTCTAATGGAGAAATAAAAACAGCCTTCTTCAGTTGGCAACAAGCAATTAGGATTTGTTTGATCATGTACCTTGAAACGGGAATATGGATGTGCTCCAGCAGCACAGCAAGACTAAAAGGAAATCTTTGCTGCAACCATATTATGATCTGAGTCACAGGTTTTTTTATATGCTGGATCATATGAAAAAATAAGAAAATTACATTCTTGGTTTCATGAAGTGCCCATAAATATTTCCAATCTCTTTTTAAGTAGGCGAATTTAAAAAGAAAATACAGCAGTGAAATAAATTATTTTGTGTTCTCCCTCGTTTTTAGGCAGTAAGCAGTGAAAGAAAGCATGAATATATTGACCCAAACCCCCGTCCTGCATGACATCAGGTCTCCCTAGCTGTAACCGGCTGTACTGGGGCTTAAAGAGCTGCTTATTCTCCTGCAGGATATCTGCATTGACTGCATTGACAGCGTTGACGACCTGGTTTCTGAGTATAAATCTGTCTTAAGGGCCACGTGTGAGTCATTTTACATTTTGATAATGAATTAAACAAATCAATGCCTCTTAATAGAAGTTTAAAAGCATACATATATTTTTTCTGTGTGGGGCCCAACATCAATATCCTTCATGGGGCCCCAAATTCCTGGTGGCGCCCCTGCTCACTACTAGAGGTTTTCTTTCATGTATACCTTCACACTTTGACATTTTGTTTTTACCAAAATCCGTTAAAAAAAAAGAAATGTGCCCCCCCAGGTTGTATTTGCATATTCTCCCTGTGCATAGG